ACATTTTACTCTACTCTTTCAACCTTACACTGTGGCGTATGCTTTCCCACATTGAGATGCTTTGCTTTGAAGATCTTATGCACCACACTTTTGAAGATGCAAGTTTCTGATTCACATCTTTCCGGCATATTCACGCGTATCAATGAAGTCCAAGTTCCAGTCACATACTCAAGGTGTTCAAGTTTTCCACACACGTTCAGAATTCGATCTTGCCACTACTACCCCAGGGGAGTCTGTTCCTTTTTCTCCATTTTTATTATTTGTAGTTTTATGCATACAATGAGAGCATTGTATGAAATAAGTGTGGGTAGGGGGTCGAAAAAGGAAAATTAAAACTGCTAGAAAATTTAAAATTTTAAAATTTTAAAAGTAGATTTGAAATAATAATCTAAAAATTAAATCTAGTGATAATTAAAAACTTAAGCTGCTAGTGTTGCGTGGGATGATCCAATGCGAGCTCAAATGTTTAACCGAGCCAACATATGTTATAGTATATTTGTGGCTTCCCAAGTCCTCGTGAAAAGTCATGAGATATGAAAGATAATCCGGTAGTTTATATGGCATAATAAGTTTTGCAGCGTGTACCTGAAATCTATCCAGGAGAGCTTATGTAGTCATTGCACTTTGACTAATACCTTTAACCAATAAATTTTGAAGTTAAGCTCCCTTGCTTAAGCATGTAGGATTTGAGTGAAGAAAGTGAGTTATATAAAATAAAAGAGAGAGAGAGAGAGAGAGAGAGAGAGAGAGAGAGAAAGTTGCAAAAAAGTTGTAAGAATTTTGGAGCTATCAATGTATGAAGATCAAAATACCAAAATTCTGAAGAAATCCAAAAAGTTGAAGATGCCAAAAATAAACAAAACTGTGGTGAATTCGAAGAAATCAAAGGGAAAATATCAAAGAATAGATGAATTTAAAAGAGCCCCATTGTGGTATCAAAGTTGTAATTCTTTCTAAATCATATGTATGCTTGGGTAGCTTAACCAAAAATACCTTGAGGTTAAGAAAGATTTCTGAGGATGGATCCGGAGGGCTGCAAAAACCAGTGTCGTATAAACTAAGGGGTGAAGGTTCATTAGGATTGTGAGTATTTAGGATTGGGAAGTTTTTAGGAACCTTACACACAAATATGCGCATTGAGGTCTTGGTATAATGGTTGAGTTCAAAATGGATTGTCTTATGTGATATTGGTGATGAAAATTAACTTTAAAAAAATGCTTGGGGGCAAGCAAAAGATAAGTGTGGGGTATTTTGATATTGTCATATTTATACACATTTTTAGGCAATATTTTAATACATTTTATGTAATATTTTGGTTAATTGCAAAGATATGGGATGCTTATTGAATTAATTTACATTTTGTAGCCAATAAGGACACTCTTGAAGAATAAGGACCATAAGAGACAAGCATTGGAACTTTGGAGGATTGGAGCTTAAAAGAAGAAGATTTCAGCTGAAAAACCAAACTCACGACGTGATAGATCAATGCTCACGACGTGAGGAGGGAACTTTTAGAAGATTAGTATGCGGAGGCCAGAATCCTTATACGATACGGATAAAAACCAAGCTCACAACGTGAGATCGGTCTCCCATTAATCCAGTAAGGTTGCATAATTCGTAGCCTTGTCATTTGTTGGTTTTTTTTGTCACCTTTAAAAATCCCTCACATACTCTTGTCTGACAAGAAATTCTTCATAACATAACTCCAATATGTATAGTTCTTGCCATCGAGTTGGGTACTAATAGACTGAAGAGAATCATCTTTGGGGGGCGTATTTCCAATAGCAGTTAAACAAAAATAACAAAAACAAACAGCAACTACGAATAGCAACAACAACAATCAAGATCTCGAAATCAACAAAATCAAACAAATCATACCAAGCAAAATACAGAAACAAAGCATGAAATCGATCCGCACAATGTCGTGCGTGCTACAACTCACCCCCAAAAAACAAAAATACAAATGACTAACCGAGCTTTGATACCATGTGAACTAACAAGTAAAACACATAGAACGGCTAGGGTTTCGTATTATTATCAAATGAAAAGTACAATTACAATGAAAGGGAAATACGTAATTTATAGACTAGCTAATTAGGGTTTTCTAGCTAATGGACCAACATAATACCCAATACAAAATAAAGCCCAAATTTTCAAACAGAGTTGGCTATTAGGCAATAGATATACATTCAAATATTGTAGTTATCATATAGAATATTATCCTATAGTTATCGGGATTTCCATTGTATTGTTTTTATATAAATTGATTCATGAATGAGAAAGAGGCATTGATTAATTCCAACTAACAGTAATACATTCATCTTTAATGTGATTGTTGTACCCTTAAGACATACCATATACGATTCATTCCAACTAACAGTAGGCCTCAATCTTGTATTTTCTTGTTGTAATTGATTTGTATCATATTCCGTTTATTAATTCAATTATAACATTTCCATTTGTTCATATTATTGTTGTAATTCTAATTATTTACTTTAGTTATAAGGCCAGGGGAAGTGGTCACCACCAACCCACCACCGAAAAAGCGTTGTCATCTCTGCGTTACGTCAGCTTCACCACCAACCCACTAGACATTGGAAATGGTTACCACTCCACGATTTTCTTTTATTTATTTTTTACTTTTTTATGATTAAATTAAATATAAACATAATAAAATATTTTACATTAATTGAAACCACATTACATTAATTACAAAACATAGAAAATTAAACCTAAAAAAAATAATAAAGCTAAATTACTATAAAAAAAACAAAAAAAAAACATAGAAAATTAAACCTAAATTACTAAAAAAACATAAAAAAAAAACATAGAAAATTAAACATAAATTACTAAAAAATCATAGAAAATTAAACATAAATTACTAAAAAAACGTTAAAAAAAACATAGAAAGCTAAACCTAAATTACTAAAAAAAATAGAATCTAGTTGCGATATTTGTCGAGAACTTCTTGTTGAAATTTTAAAAACGCCTTTAAATTTTCCGGGTTAAGATTCGGTTGCGGCACCGTGATTAAAATTTGAAGATCGGGGAGTGCCATTTTTCGCGGACGAGCTTCCTCCCTTGATTCAAATTTTCTTCTAAAATACTTAGAGTTTTGTCTATTTTCTCCGCTAGTACGTCTTCGTTGGTTGATTTTCCGCTTGAAGACCCCCCTTTTCTGTCTTTGTCCCTTCCCGATACTCGACGAAGACCTCCCCCTTGGTGGAGTTGAACTCATCATTGAGGTCGAGTCTAACACCAATGTCCGACTCGGATGTTCTTGCCCTTTTTTTGGAGCCGGTAGTAGATCTCGAATGTGCCGTCTCTGGATAAAGGACCCATTTTGGACCCTTACGACAAACTTCCCACACTTTTTGGTTGGTGAATGGTTTACCATTGTTGGTAATTTTGTATTGGTACAACGCGGTTGATAAAATATTGAAATCATTGCTACCACTTCTATACATATTTTTAAAATAAGTCGTTAAATTTGGTGCAAGTCGCTCGAAGGTCACGCTATTTTGTATTGACCAAGTTGTATGTCTAGTTCGTTTGCCTTCCTAATAACGTGTGGAAGTGGTCTAAAATACGATTCCAAAAACTTTGACCCGTTTGCGCGTTGCCAACATCCCCGTCTTGTGATATGAAAATCCAAGCTTTTGTTAAAGTTTCCTCCTCCTCTTCGGTCCATTGCGTACTTTTCTTTTTCCTTGGATCTTTTAATTTTTTTTTTGCCTTCTACGACTTCGTTGTGTTTCTTCAACCCGTTCCTCGCCGTCGTCATTGTCGAGGTTTATAGGTTGAGATTGAGATAATGAAACTTGAGATGATGGTGAAGGCTGTTGACGTTGAAAAGTTTGAGGTTGAAATTGCGGAGAATGTTGTTGTTGAAAGGCTTAAAATTGGGGTTGATTGAATTGTGGTGGTTGTTGTTGTTGGTAGTAGTGTGGGTGGTATGAAAGATTGGTGAATAGAGGTTGTTGTTGGATTGGAGATATTATCAATTGTATGTAACTACGATTTGCTAATGGATCATTTGAAGTGTTTGGGGTGGATGGGGTATTTTGATTTGGATCCATAAAAATATATGAGGAAAGAGTGTCTTTTGTTGAATATGTGTGTTTGTGTTGAAAGAGTGTGTGTTTTAGTTTGAAATGTAAAATGAATATATATATATATATATATATATATATATATATATATATATAGAGAGAGAGAGAGAGAGAGTAAAATTTATTAATAATTGAATGATTTTTTTAAAATATTAAACTGTCGAAATGTCCCAGCCTCCCTCCCCCAACAGTCAAAATGAGATGTCGAATCAAATCATCCATCTTCGCTCTCACGCTACAGAGCACCGGCCTGGGGGCGGTGTTCACGCGTCTTGGGAGGTTCCACGTCAGCATCTCACGCGTCTTCCTTCTACCACTTCGGGTAGCCTAACACTTGGCAAGTAGTGATATTATACCATCGAGGCACAAAGCAACCTATTTCAACAAACCAATCAGTATATATTCGGTAAGTTAGACGTTACAAACCATTAACATTTCCATTTTGTAAGAGTTGAAATGCTTTTTTTTTTTTTTTTTTGTAGTTCACGATTCAATGTGAAGTTCTAGTAGAACATGACTTTGCACAATAAATTCATTAAGAGTTGTAATATTACGTTATTCAAAGTATAAAACTTTGATTTTATATATGTCATTTATTCGGGGACAAAAATTCACACAACATTACAAAAGTGGAAATACTAAAAACGTGCCGCAAAGGGTACGTACACTTGTTTAGAACCCGGCTGGCTTAGATGCAATGAAACTAATACACTGGACTTGACGGACATTATCAAAGCCAATAATACGAATAAAGGCATTTGGGTGCTCCTTCTTGCATTCTTCAAGCTCCTTCAGCACCTGAGCCGAATCAGTGCACCCAAACATGGGCAGCTTCCACATTGTCCAGTATCTTCCATCATAGTACCCCGGCGACCTGTGGTTCTCACGTTAGACAAACCCATGTTCCAGTTCGAATTCCAAACAAGGAACCCATTTGCTGCGAAGAAGATAGTCAACTTCCTTAGCCAATGAGGCCTCAGACAATGGTGGCAGGTATGAAAGAGTCTCGTACTTCTTCAACCCGAGTGGTGGCCACACCTTCATGCACTGCACCCTGCCGCCGTTGCTGGGGAGGGAGGAGAAGCCGGTTTTGGCCTGTTTGGTTGCCGGAAAAGCTGTGGTAGACTTGAGACCGGTGAACGGAGCCACCATGGTGGCTTGAGCTGGGACTGCTCTGCTCATGGTGGCGGTGGTGGATGAGGAGAGTGAAGCCATATTTTACTATATAATTGGTGTTTGGAACTGATTAAAATGAGTTGGTTTTGTGCGTTTGTTTGTAGGTATATATAGAGGCGAGAGTAAGAAGGTGATTTCCATCTAAGGGACGAAATTCAATCCATCGGATAAGTGGTGGTGCAATTGTGAACGGTGGATGATGAGGGTTCATGATAATACATGCATAATGCCACACAGGAGTGAAACATTTGGATAGATAACGATAAACCAAATTTTGATGGAATGCCATGCGAGTTTGTGACGATCGAAGGCTCATCCCATCATTTTCTTTTTCTTTTTGTTTTCTTTTGGGGATCCTATTTTCAATAGCATTCATGTCATTGGTTATATGATAGAAAGAATTTCAGTCTATTCTTAAAAATCATGTGTTAGAAAATGGTAAGCCACAAATAATCCTTGTTATCATCCGATGCTAAAAAGAACTGGTTAATTTAGTGGTTCTTCGTTCCTCCATTATCTGAATCTTATTTCTGGTTAAGTTAACTATTGGATGGAATTGAAGGCTTATTTATTCAATGGGTATTCTATATTTCCATATTTTAATTATCCTACAAAATCATAAGACATAGAACGTGTCACCGCGTCACAAATTTATTCATGTAACAAAATTTAATTTATTCTTTATCATTTTATGCAAAATTATTTAATCGTCTTATCAATTTATACAAACAACAATAGAAAAGCAATTACATCTCAACCGGGTTAAACACATTATAGGTAAATTACTGTATAGATATGTTAAAAGATATGATTGCATATTTCATCTGAACTAAGTAGTCATTATGTTGCATGAATTCGAGAAGGACTATTGGATCTCTTCATAATTCATATAATAATTACAAACTTTTGGATTGTAAAAAAATCTTTAAAACAGAAACACACGTAAGTTCTTTCTTTTCATAATCGTATTTAGTTTGTGTTGAAGGAAAATTAATAAAATCAAGAGCTTTTATAGACTTATATATGTTATAAAATATTGTTCATGTGATTATGTCGTTACATGTCCGTAGGTGTCGCAGTCATTTATGTCTAGAAAACTCGATTGCATTATTGGGAGGGAAACCGACAGGATGTTTCAGATGGAACTTACAACGTTCTTTTCATTTCAGCTCTCTTCCTTGATAACTAATAAGTAATAACCATTACTTGTAAACATATTGCATTATTTTTTCAAATGTTTTTTTTTTTCATAATTGATTTTAAATAGCCGTATTTTATTAATCTTAATATATGATTACAACTACAAATACATATAGTATATATGCAGGGAGGAACCGACCTACAAATACACATACCACCAAAAAGTGAATCATGAACCACCAATGTCAAAAAAAAAATCTACTTTTATGAAACTGGAAAAATGGTTTATAACTAAGTTACCAAAACCAAACACTTTCTAACACAGCAGTATGGTATTGTCATTCATCTTTTGAGGTTGAGAGTTCAACTCTGGACTGTTAAGATTTATGGAGTCTTGAACAAATTGACAAGTTCCTAAGAATTCAAAGGCCATAAATGTAACTTAGCAAATTAAACAATTTAATTGTATTGTTTAATGGAAAAATGGACGGTGGTTCAATTATTTAATATTGAATGGACGTACATGTCGGCAAATCAATTGTTTATTATTTGGACGCATCTTTTGCATGGTCAAACAATGGACGGCAAAAAATATTAAATTATTAAATGATGGCTCCTTTTTCTTAATTGCGGCAATTTTGTCAATATGGACGGCAAATTTGTGTGAATCAAGAAAAGTTTACGGCACATCTCCTATAATATATATATAGATATATATATATATATATATATATATATATATATATATATATATATATATATATATATATATGTGTGTTGTGTAGCAGAGAATGTGTGCATCAAATATAACTTGTAGAGTTATAAATTGTAATCTTATTGAGTTAATAAGAAAATCTAGTTGCAGCCCGTGGACGTAGGATTTACATCGAATCCGAACCACGTAAAATCCTTGTGTTCCTTCTTGCTTTATTTCCTTCGTGTGTTTGTGTGTGTGATAGTGTTTCCGCTGCATGTACCCGGTCCGATTCCTAACAACTGGTATCAGAGCCTGATTAGCAAGGTTTGGAGGGTACGATCGTTTTTTTTATCACGCACGAGTGTACCTGATTTGTCTCTTGTTTGTCATAATGGCTGAAGACAAGGTTGTAATCGAAAAGTTCAACGGTTCTGATTTTAGCTGGTGGAAAATGCAATTAGAAGCATTGCTATGTCAGAAAGACTTGGACATGGTACTCGGAGACAAACCGGAGAAAATGGAAAAAGCTTTTGAAGATGCGTGGAACTCAAAGGACAAGAAAGCCAAGGCGGTTATTACATTGTCATTGACGAAGAGCGTTGCTTTCAACATCATGAATGAAACCACGGCGCGTGGTATGATGGAGGCTCTGTCAAATATGTATGAGAAACCATTGGCGGCTAACAAGGTGTTCTTGATGAAGGAGTTGTTCACTACAAGGATGAATGAGGAAGGCTCAGTTACGGTTCACATTAACAATCTAAATTCAATTATATCCAGATTATCATCTGTGGGAATTAAATTTGATAACGAGACTCAAGCATCACTGCTACTAGCTTCTCTACCTGATAGCTGGTCCGGAACAGTTACCGCTGTTACGAGTTCCGTGGGGACCAGTGGTATGACTTTTGAAGGGGTTAGAGATTTGGTTCTAGGCGAGGATATCAGACGCAAGAATCAAGGTGGATCTTCCTCTTCTGATTTATTAAATGTCGGAAGAGGTAGAGGGAATAGCAGGAATAGTGGAAGCAGTGGGAGTCGGGGAAGAAGTTCATCTAGAACTAAGAAGAATGTGAAGTGCTGGAACTGCCAGGAGGTGGGACATGTTAAGAGTCAATGTCCAAAGAAAGAATTGAACATTGCTGGTGCTGAGAGTGTGTCTGAGGATGATGCATTGATACTCAGTATGGAAAGTTTTGTAGACTCTTGGGTCATGGATTCAGGGGCTTCGTTTCACGCCATGGACAACGGGGAAACAATGGTGAATCTAAAAGAAGGAGATTTTGGGAAGGTACGGTTGACAAATGACGAGATGCTTCAGGTAACGGGCATGGGAGATATTGATCTGGTTACTTCATTGGGAACTACATGGAACCTGAAAAATGTCAAGGTGATTCCGGAGCTGAAAAAGAAATTGATTTATGTTGGTCAGCTGGATAAACAAGGACTGGAAGTAAGGTTTGGTGGTGGTAAATGGATGGTGGTCAATGGTAATTCGGTGATTGCTCATGGTATGAAGTGTGGGTCATTGTATATGGTTGAGGTACCTGCTGAGGGAAGTATGACCGTCCCTGTTAAGCAAGACAAAATCTGGTTCGCTAAATCTAGTGCTAAGAGACTTCATTTTGCAAACATGAAGTCTGAAGCCAAAGGGATGTTAGCTGAACGAGTTCGAAAGTCTAAACCATTCAGGGGATTCTGTGACAGTGGGAGCACGGGACGTGTTTCGGGTACAGTTACAAAGAGCCGTTGGGTTTTGAAGACTAAGACTGGAAAATTCTCTCTTGTTGGAAGTTTGCAAAGTTTGGAGAGTGTTAGTGGTCCTCGGTGTATCTCTGGATCTGGTGGAGTGTCAAACCGGTTGAGACAGAGGATGAGTCGGTGGTGGGATTAGCCACGGCTGAGTTGGAGCTAGTGGGAGCTTCAACTGGCCCTTCTAGTAATTGATGATGAGGGGCGGCTGCAACTAGAGAAATCAGACTAAGTTTTAGCTTGTTCATTGGAACTGGAAGCCTAAAAGGACTTGGTTGTTTTTTAAGATTACTGGAATAATTGAGAGTTGAATGGCGGAGAAAAGCTAAAGTTGTTCAAGCCTCCAAGTGGGAGATTGTTAAGATTTATAGAGTCTTGAACAAATTGACAAGTTCCTAAGAATTCAAGGGCCATAAATGTAACTTAGCAAATTAAACAATTTAATTGTATTGTTTAATGGAAAAATGGACGGTGGTTCAATTATTTAATATTGAATGGACGTACATGTCGGCAAATCAATTGTTTATTATTTGGACGCATCTTTTGCATGGTCAAACAATGGACGGCAAGAAATATTAAATTATTAAATGATGGCTCCTTTTTCTCAATTGCGGCAATTTTGTCAATATGGACGGCAAATTTGTGTGAATCAAGAAAGTTTACGGCACATCTCCTATATATATATATAGATATATATATATATATATATATATATATATATATATATATATATATATATGTGTGTGTGTGTGTGTGTGTGTTGTGTAGCAGAGAATGTGTGCATCAAATATAACTTGTAGAGTTATAAATTGTAATCTTATTGAGTTAATAAGAAAATCTAGTTGCAGCCCGTGGACGTAGGATTTACACCGAATCTGAACCACGTAAAATCCTTGTGTTCCTTCTTGCTTTATTTCCTTCGTGTGTTTGTGTGTGTGATAGTGTTTCCGCTGCATGTACCCGGTCCGATTCCTAACATGGACATAAGTGAGATTAATGAATAGATTAGTTTTGTCTATAACCTGTAGCCAATGCCCAAGCCCAATGACCACAAGTCAAACCTACAACCAAGTCCAACCCACTAAAATTCATGCTTGATCCATTTCGGTAAGCATTTAGTGAGGAGGCTTATAAGGACATGAAAATTTCATTTTAGTTTTTATGTGAGAACAGCCCCATTTAATAAAATTTCAAGTAACAAAGTTCCAACACTAGAACTTGCTTTTCTTACTGAATAATGACTCGACATGTCTAAAATATGTTGCATAATACTAGAACTATAATGGGTAAGAACCTGTTTTATTAAAATAAAATAGTACTGACCGGTTTGAGTTATGGCATGTTTACCTCTTACTCGAGCCCATAAGATTGGGGGTTAAATATGTCTGTGTGCACTAGGCATGCACAAACCGGTTCATTTTTCAAACCGAACCGGTTCTTTAAACCGGTTCGGTTCACTCCCTAGCCAAGCAAAACCGGTTCAGCCTCAAACCGGTTCGGTTCAAACCGGTTCACTCAAAAAATTAGTCGAACCTATCTAAACCGGTTCAATCGGTTCTAAACTGGTTCAATCGGTTCTAAACCGGTTCGGTTCGGTTCCATACCGGTTCCAAACCGGTTCACACGATATAAACCGGTTCTAAACCGGTTTCAACGACTAAAATCTCGAACGGGTGTAAACCGGTGGTTCGGTTCTCAAACCGGTTCGGTTCACTGTGGACCGGTTCAGCGTAAACCGGTTTACCGGTTCTTTGACCGGTTCAGATCTTGAACCGGTTTTTTTGTGCATGCCTAGTGTGCACCCGGTTTTTCAATAAATTGAGCCCACAAAATTTATTAATTGTTGGGCTAAATTCCTGAAAATCCAAAAATAACCCTTTAAACCATTAAAGCCTAATCCCATTTTCTTTTGAAATTTGACACAATTATCCGGTCCAGATACATCTTTAAACATTTATATATTTATTTTAACTAGAATGAGATGAATCTCGTTTATTTTGGGATGTTATATAAGTGTTTCCAAACTAAAATTTTAAATTCAAAATTATTGAAATTAAGGTCTTGAAATGAAAATGGCAATATCCAAATACAATCAAGGTTTTAAAAATCGGACCGAACACCGAACCGGTCGTCTTACCGGTTCGATGGTTTAATTGGTCCAACCGGATTGGACCGGTATCAAAAAGCGGAAAACTCTGATGATGTCATAATTATATTATTATTAATTTTAATTATATAAAAATAATAATAATAAATATTTTTTAAAATTCTCAGTTCCCAGTTCAACCGGTGATCTGGTTTTCAAAACATGGAATACAACATCCTCATATCAAATAATTGTTTTTAATGGCAAATTAATCTAATCTTAAACTACTTCTAAATCCACTTATGTCTCTGACAAGACTTGAACCCTCAACCTCAAAAATGAAAGACAACACCTGATAATGCTGGGCTAGAAACATTTTTCATTAACATCAAAAATTGAACGCGACACTAGATAACTATCACATTTAAATAACCAAACCATTCACATCGAAAATGTAAGATGACATTTCAAAACTAACCATATTTAAATAACTTAAACATTCAGTTAGAAACTTTTACATTAATCGGCTCACAAACAAAATGATGAAATTGACAATCTACAAAAAGAAATCATATGAACTAAATTTTGATGTCCGTCAATAATGTAATAAGGAAGTCAATAAAGACTTTAACTATAATATTGTAGTTTTGAAAAAAAAATATTACCAATGCCATAGTATTTGAGATTTATTTACCAAAACCGCTAAGATATTATCGACCCACTTATTTATACAAAAAATATATATTGAAATTGATTTAGACCACCAAGGCGGAGCTAAGGTTTTTGAATGACGGGGGGTTTAAAAAAGATCGATTTCATAATAGGTCGAAACCCTAGAAGGCAAATAAAGGGCCCTCATAGGCCGGACCCTAGAAACTTAGGTGACGCTTTGCTCTCCAAGAAAACTGTCTTATGGGCTTTCTAGAATATTCCAACGTGATTTCCATGAAGTCAACGACAGTCAATTGTTTGACTGGATCGGTCAAACCGACTTAACCCGAACTCGTCAAAAATAAAAGCTCCTCAAACCTCAGCGACCGATGCGTCGTGTCAAACACACGCCTAAATGGTGTCATTTCACGCATTCACGACATCGGCTAGGCTAGGCGCACGCATGAGCTTGGCCCATTCTTTTGATCCAGTAAAGCCTTTGAAGGCCTATCAAGGGAATAATGTTATAAACTTTAAAAGGTTTTCCCCACCAATGTGAGATAAAGAAAATTTGCCAATATTTCCTCTATAATTTTCAACTACCACCTCCACACCATTACTCTCTTATTATATACTAGGTGTAAGACCCATGTATTACATGAGTTCATTTAAAAAAATTATATATAAAATTCTAAATATTTGAGAAGTTGAATTTATAAGAAAAATAAAAAAAAATATTGAATTATTAAAATTAAAGTGTTTTTTTAATTTAAACAAATAATTTAGATAAATAAACAAAGAAAACTAATGGGCTTTAATTTAAAATTTTTGAAATTAGAAGGAAAGTCAATTAATGAAATTGAAATGTCTTTATTATTATATTTATTGCAATTAATATATTTAATACAAATGAAACAACCACAAAATGTCATGTGGAAAAAATTTAATTGAAAATAACCACAAAATGACATGTGGTCAAATCAATGAGAGTAGGACAAGTGGCAAAAAAAAATTTATTTATTAAGGAGGATTTAGGAAGTAAGTTGGACTTAATTTATTTTGGGCCCCAAAAAATGTATGCGCATAAGAGTTGCATCAAAATATGTTGACCCGTGTTTCATTGATGCCAATAGGTCGTGGCCCATATTGCCCCGCCTTGGGGCCGGTTTTGGTTATGTTAATCTCAGCTAGTAATGTTTTATAGTTGTAATGATGAAATTTGCCGTTTCTTTTGATGTAATCTTTGTCATGTACGAACTCTCTACGATTTAGTATGTTGTGTGTCACGTTAAGCTTTTGGATCTCTATGTCGTCATTAATGTGATCATTATCAACATCACCGCCTTCATGTTCTTCCTACACAACCACCACCTAAAGAATCAATCTCAATGGCAGTTGAATTAACTAAGTGCTCTTCTATCGTAACACTTGACATCTAACTTCCGTGTGGTGTCAACTTTGGATGATGTAGATCATCACGTGATGATTTAAGATATTGAGCCCCACTATCATGAACAACTCTATGGTGAGCAAACCAAAAAAAATGGGCAAGTGGAAGGTCGCCTTCAAATGTGGGCTCCACCTTAAAACTGACTATATTAACTTTTAATAAATAAAATTTTAAAACTTTTGGAATCCATATACAAAAATTTGATATTCCAAAATAGGATTCATATATTTCTACGTTTGATTAAAATTTTAAATTAAAAAAAAAAAAAAAAAAAAAAAAAAAAGTTTTGAGGGGAGTGGATTGGTGCAAGGATGGATGCCGGCCAAATCAGCACCACGTTCGTAAGATGATTTGGCGAATCCTTTTTTCGAATACGACACTTTCTTCTTCGCTGTTCTACTCAGTCTCCTGACTCTCTTCACGCTCCCATTTCATTCATCAAAACTCATTAGCCTTTTTGCTCTTCATCTTAGATCCTGCCTTTTCACCCGTAAGATCTCTCTCTTTCTCTCTCTCTCCTTCTCTCTCTCTCTCTCTGTATGTGTTGTCTACATCTTTTCTGCTTTATATAACGCAGTCTTTCTTGATGTCATGAACTGTTTTCATCAGATCTCAATCAGGCATTGTTTGTTCACCAAGTGACGATCGATTAGACATGTCGAAAGCTGGAGCATTTGATCTTGCATCGGGACTCGGTGGCAAAATTGAGAAAGATGACGTCCTTTCCGCCGTCGATAAGTATATTTCTCTTTATAAACTGCTGAATCTATTCAACTTTTAAAGTCGCTGTTGTTAGGTGTATATGTAATTATGTCGAGATCTGTACCACATAACTTAATGCTCTTTCACAATTGAAATTGATTTCAACCTTTTCAATTTAAAATTCAAACTTTATGAAGCAATTGTACAACATATACAATAATGTTGCTTTCAATTTACATCGAAATCATATGCATCTTGCATGTAGCACCTAGCAAGTATAGAGATCTTCCTCAAATCTACAAATGCAGAAATCAACTCTGTTTAAATATGGGTTTTCGTTCGCTCTTGATTTTAACATAGGTATGAGAAGTATCATGCAAGTTTTGGAGGTGTGGAAGAAGACAGAAAGGCTAACTACACTGATATGGTGAGAAATTCTTTCTGATTTATAAGAATGATTCTATTGATCCAAGTATATAATCTCTCTAATTATACATTCTGATCTGTTTCAGGTTAACAAATATTATGATCTTGTCACAAGCTTCTACGAATATGGTTGGGGAGAATCATTCCATTTTGCCCAAAGGTTAATATCTTATTATATTCTTGTTCTTATTCTTTAGTCTTTAATTATTACCTTATCTCCAATCCAACAACCAACATCCAACTTTTTATGCAGATGGAAAGGAGAATCACTTAGAGAGAGCATCAAGAGACATGAACATTTTCTTGCATTACAACTAGGCTTGAAGCCTGGACAAAAGGTGCTGGATGTAGGATGTGGAATTGGTGGACCATTGAGAGAAATTGCTAGATTTAGGTAAACTAATATTATACTCATAACTCATGGCTAATAATGTTGCTTTTTTCTGTTTGACTATTTGACTTTGTTCCCTGCTTCTCACAGCTCAACATCTGTTATGGGCATAAACAACAATGAATATCAGATATCAAGAGGAAAGGTAAATAAATCATCTTATGTACTAGAATAGTATAATGTATCATAACCTTTTCTTCAAAACTTTTAATCTTTTATGGTTTTTATAATTTCTAGGCATTGAACCGTGTTGCAGGAGTAGACAAGACATGTGACTTTACAAAGGTCTTGTATTTATATTTTTTATTTAAAAGGGTATATAGTTTTGATGCATATGATATGACATGATTGTTAATTGTTATATATATACAATGTTGCAGGCTGACTTCATGAAGATGCCATTTCCTGATAACAGTTTTGATGCAGTTTATGCAATTGAGGCTACTTGTCATGCTCCAGATGCGGTATATAAATGTTGTTTAATTAATTAATATCAATTTCATTATATTTTCTGCATTTATAATTTTATATAATGTTATTTATTTATGTCTTGATATAAGGTGGGATGCTACAAAGAGATCTTTAGAGTTTTGAAGCCTGGTCAATCATTTTCTGCATATGAATGGTGCATGACTGATGCATTTGACCCAAATAACCAAGAACACCAAAAAATCAAGGTAAACTAAGTCAAATACCACAAAACTATCATATTATGAAATTTTAAAATAAACCCATTTTTAAAAATTGAATTTTGATGGTTGTAGGCTGAAATTGAGATTGGTGATGGGCTTCCAGATATAAGGTCAACAAGACAATGTCTTGCAGCTTTAAAAGAAGCAGGTTTTGAGGTGAGTAGAAATGTAGAATCCAACAACAACATAACTATAAGTTTATTATTATCAACACACCAATTTTTTTTTTAAAAAATGACTAATTTTTTATTTTTGTGGATATGAATTAAGGTTATATGGGAGCAAGATCTTGCAAAAGATTCACCTGTTCCTTGGTTCTTGCCTTTGGATACGAGTCATTTCTCTCTTAGTAGTTTTCGTTTAACTGCTGCTGGACGTTTTATTACAAAGAATATGGTAAGATTTGTTCATGTAAAAAGAGGGATAATTGGAGTAATTGTTATCTTGAAAAATTGTTAATTTAAAGAAGTTGTTTTGGATTTATTTTTAGGTGATAGCGCTTGAATATGTGGGACTTGCTCCTAAAGGAAGCCAAAGGGTTCAATCGTTTTTAGAGAAAGCTGCAGAAGGGCTTGTTGCTGGTGGAAAGTGAGAATTTATTTACTTACATTTTAGTTACATTTATATTTGATATCCTTATATAATTAAGTGAGAAAAAAAGGGAACTCGAAAAAGATGAATAAAAATCTTGTTGTTTGTTGTTTGTTGTTTGTTGTTTGTTTTGTGGCAGGAAGGAGATTTTTACACCAATGTATTTCTTCTTGGCTAAAAAGCCTGAATAGAGAGGTGTTTTTGTTTGAAGTGGTAGTGTGTATTTATTATGTTTTTAAATTTTAATGGTGAAAATTATGGGAGGATGTAGTTCTTTTTTTGACAGTGTAGTTTGGTTGTGATTTTCTTGAAAGTTTGTTGTTTGGTAGAGTTTGTTTTTGATGATTCATCTTGGAATTGAATAGGAACTATTAATCTTTGGTGTATTTTTTCATGTTTATCAACTTCTCATCCAGAAGTGAAACCGTTCCACAATTTGGGTTATGTTTTATTTTCAAGGAGTCAATTTGGTAAAAGTAGAAAAATTTATTTAGAAAAGAAATGTGGCGTAAGTTTTCCAAAGTTTAGCTTGAAGGAATCTCCAAAACAGTTCTATTTGAATTAGGTTATTATAATTATATTCTTTTTGTAGTCATGTTAAAACTCTAATTGCTAATAAAAAAAAAGTCAAAGTTGCATAATTGGTCAATATGGTTTCCAAACAGTCTCAGATTAATGACAACTTTAGAAAATAGAACACCGTTTGTCAAGTGGTTTCAAAAAGCTACGTGTTTGTTCTTATTGATAACATTGTTTTTTGATGTTAGATAACCATGTACGAAGTTTGATTTGAATATGCATATTACTCAATCATATGATCAGGCCCTAACCATTATGGTAGATGTTAATCACCAATATGACTATTCGTCTATTCCAAGTCCACTTTGTCTTACAGACATTTTGGTAGACAATCCAAGTCGTCCAAAGTACTCATGTCAATGATGAGTCAAATGCCACTAATTACGATGTTCTAGTGCATAATCATTAAGTTGTTCAAGTTCACAACATTAAAAATGCTCTAAATTGCATTAATAATGAAGCTCCAATATACGGATGGAAATAGTGTCAAATATTATAAATATTGATAATATTCTTAATGCTAAGAGGGCCATTTGGGTTACCCTTAAGACCTAACTGAACAATTAAATGAAAAAAGGGATTTAGAATAAATTAGTTTATTAATTTTCATGCTATGATAAATTAATTTGAAGCAATTTGGAATTAATTAGGAACTAATTAATTGCACGGACTGAAAGTTGATTAATTAAAAGGTTTAATTAATTGGAACAGTCTAGGGGACGATTTCAACAAAAAGACAGTTGATTTGACATTAAACAACTGGATGTCTATAGATAGGGAGCTAGAGATCAAACCATAATTGTTCAATACCTAGCTCAAAAATTCGACCCCCTTGCCTCTCTCAATAGCTAATGCAACTTAACCCTTCTAGGGTTTGTAGTTGGCGATTTTCCTCCTCTCTCCAAGAGTCTCCCATATGTCGTATTGCTTAGTTGGTGTTCTTAGGTGCGATTCCATTAGAGAGATTCTTTTTTGGATCATTGCATTCAATCAAAGTGGGAAGAACAAGATCACAAGCAAGGAGATCTTTGGCCAACAAATAGGTATGTAATCTTAACTTTCTTGTAGTTGCAATAATAGTATAAACATAAGATCCTTGTAGGTTTAGATTGAACATTTGACATGAATATTATAATATTAGTATGTTCAAAAACTTTCATATACAACAATGAAAATGTGCTCAATGAGAAAGAGGTGAGAGATTATGATCAATTCTTTAATTTTGAACATAATATATATATATATATATATATATATATATATATATATAAAAGCATGTTGGTGACATAGATAAAGATTATGGTGTGATCAAAAAATTTGAACGAGGAATAGAGCATCATTGTAGTGATGATGGTAGTAGTGTGGGTGAGACTTTATAGCTGTTATAGATAATTTGGTGGATTATATGAAAGTACATATGCAAGAATTTAATATTGCAGTGAAAAAAGATGTTGACTTGGCAAAAGACTAGTCAAACAAAACAACTGGTCCAAATAAAGGATGAGAGTTATTTGCAGGTGTTAGACAGTAAGGTTTTTTTGACTCACTTGGGGTTCGAAAAAGACTTGAGAAAAGAGATGTTGAAACGAGTAACCAAACCACTAACATGTTCATCGGGTGGGGTGAAGTTCGTGAAAAAACATTTAAGGTTGGTCAAATATTCAAGACAAGAAGGAAGTCTAAGAATTAATTGATTTATAGTCGATTCAAACAAGTAGGAGACCTGTATTGTGTAAAGAATTATAATTTATAAGACAAGACTTAGGGTAAAGTGTAGAGGTGTGATACATGAGTCGACTAGTGGGGTTGATACCATAAGTAAAGTTAAATGCAAATTTCACCTAATAATTTCGAAAGTAAGCACTTGTCGTTAGGTACTTCGTGTTTATAGGTCCAATGAAGAAGATGATTGAACGGTAAAAACTCTAGTAGATGAGCATATATACTTGCAAACTTGGTTGGTAAAAGCTTGCACATCTAAGTTTTTTTTCGAACACCATTGTACAAAAAGTCGAAGGTAACCTCGCATCTTGTAAGGGTTTTACATGACGAGTTGTAAAAAAATAACACCCTTACAATTTCAAATATGAAGGTATATGGGGAAAAGGCCACAACCCAAATGTAAGTGTTTATGGATTATGAAAAACAAAATATTATTTTAATTGATTATGTCTTGTATTATAGTACAGTCATGCACTCTCAGAACAAGTCATGCAATCCTAAAACTACAATGAAGCTTGAAGTGTGGAGTGAATCAAACATGTCTTTGGAAAAAAAGGATGTACAAATGCATTTATATTTGCTTTGGTGCATTGAAGCAATGATTTAAGGTTGGGTTGAGGTATTTCATAGGTCTCAATGGAGCCATATTGAAGGGTTAAATTTCGTGGACAAATTTTGAATGCACTATAGATCAAGTAGAATGCTTTTTGGCATGGTCTCTTAAATATTGATATTTTATTAAATGTAAAATAAAATTAATATAATATATAAAGGGGTTGACCGATTGAAATAGGGTTGAGAATATTAACCCTAACCCAACTTATTTAATTAAAATGTTTAGATGAACTAGAACTATCAACCAAACCTTCTGATTTTGTATTGAGTTGTTGGGTTGGGTTTGTTTTTTAAAAGTTGTACTCTAACGTTTAGTTTCCGGGTCTCACTTAAAGATAGAAATGTATACAACTAAAAAGAAAGGAAAAACAACATTGATATTCCTGAGTTTTTTCAATATAAAAAATTGAAATTATGAAAAAAAAAATGAGGGATAATCTTTCCTCCTAATTTTCTGAAAAAAAAAAATAGATATTGAAAATAATACTTATTTTTTTTTTTCTTTGGGAACACTTAAATGTTTATTTTCCTTTCATTTTTTCAAACTGGGAAACACTAAAATGTTATCTTCTTTCCCTTTCTATTTTCTTTTTTTCTCTCATTTTTTCTCCTCTTTTCTTTTCTTTGCTAAATCTAGGAACTAAACGTAAATGTAAGATATGGAAGAAAGTACTTACTCGATTGCTTTTCTTACAAGCATACATATTCACCTAGAGATATACTCAAAAGAAGTTGTTTGTGGAGTCATTGTCCATGGCGAAAAAGTACTCCTTGATTGCTTCTGGCATCCGCTCGGTTTTAACCTGATTCTTTTCCACGATTACCACCACCATCGACAATAAATAGCGTCACCACTTGTGGTAGCATATAAAGAATAATTTCTATAAATCTTTTCACATCATCACCATCAAGTAGCTTGACAATATTACCGAATTCAGGATGTTTAAAAGAGAATATATATATGATAATTTCCTAAATGTAACTTTCTCATTACCAAATTATTCCAATCCGAAACTTTCCAGCAAGTCCAAGAAAGAACTTATCAAATCTAAGGTCACATACTCCAAAACATTAACTTTCTCCTATAATCTTTCACTAAAAGCAATATTTCAAATATTTCGTTTTAATAATTCATTTTCGAATGGGAAAATTTATGTTTGAAGGCGTGATTTTATTTTAATCAAATGACGGTATTCATTAACAAATTTATCATATCTTGCAAAAACAAAATTTCACAAATTTGGTGCGAAACCTAAAAAGTCAAGATTTACAGGTTTTGTTAGAAAAATAAATTAACAAAATTAAAGATAATTCGCAAACTGGTTGCAAGATCTTACAGGTTTTTTTAGAAAAAAGTTACCTAATTTTTTAAGACAAATTATTCATGTGGGGCCATCCATTAAGTTCATGAATCTAATTGCGATCTACTATGTACAGGATCAAATTGTGTGGTTCATTTAAATGAGATCATGATTCATGAACCACATCAGCATACCAACTTTTAATTAATTTTGAGGTTTTGTTTTAGAATTATTATATTCTAACCAAATAATAATTATAGAATAAATTTTATCATAGTATTATATTCTATCCATGATATGTGGATCGGCACCTACCTTCCATGACGTAAAATAGGTATCGATCAACAGATATCAAGCATAAAGAAACATAACTATTTGCGTTTATAGTTCGAATTTTAATCGCAAAGTATTGGTTCTTAGAATGGTATATAAAAAGAATTATATGTTCGCTATCAAAACATGACGTAGGAGCAAAATATATAAAAGAATAACATTATTGGTCGGAATCACGTAACGTTAATTACAATGTTTTAGATTTTAGAATCCGTTTAAGTTTGAAATTGTGGATGCTGTTGAAACACGCACGGATAGGAAACATAAAGCTTGCAGTTTGGCATGCACGATATTAATCCCATAATTAGTGGTAGGTTGGTAGCCAACATGATATATATATATATATATATATATATATATATATATATATATATATATATATATATATATATATATATATACAGCATGTCTACGTATTTTGATTGAAAGAAAATATTACCCATCCAAATTTTAAAATATATTTTTATCAACTTGTGCCACTAGAAAATGCAATATAGTTCCAAATGGTATTGCTCATTTCTTTACAAAGAAACCAACATTTTACACCATTCAACTTTGGATCATATCCAACTTCACCTTCTAACTTCTATTTCATTATATTTCTCACTTATTAGTATATATATCCACGGATAAACGCAAGAAGTTACAGCAGTATGACATCAAAGTTGGGACTAAAATTTGGTGCAACATATTTCTTTGATGTTGGACATAATACATGTTGCATAATTTTTTAGTAGTTGCTCCATGATACAAAATAAAAATAAAAAATAAAAAATAAAAAAAATAAAAATAAAAAGTTACCCTTATGAGACGAAACCGAGTAGTGATCTGAGACATTTTATACTAGGGGGCATTTATG